TATTTGGAAATAATGAGATTTGTGGACCGAATTATCTGTAGAAACTATACTGATTTTCATAACTAAATGAGATAATCACAACAAAATACAATGGAAGGGAATAATTAAAGTTAATTTTCATTTTCTCGCCGGCGGGCTTTAAGAGAGTCGCAAAGTTTCATTAGCTGCATTATTGGAAATTGCTCAAGGAATTCCATAATAACAATTTTCTTGGGGCATTAACACGAATTATTTTCGACTCTTCGGGTCTCAAACCCTCTTCGCAAAGTCTTTACTTACCTATCTACCGTAATAATGGTTAGCTGCAGTAAGTTCCAATTCGTTTGACGTCTACCGATAAATAATAAGAAACAAGAGAAAGAAGGGGCTGAGGAGAAAGAAGACGAGCCGAACAAATCAGTTTATGGGCAGATTGAAAATTAATTTGGAAGTATTGAATAAGTTACGATTTGTTAAATTCTTAAAAATTCTAACAAAATGTTAAATTCTTAAATTGTTCAAGATTTCTCAAGTGCTGTATGGAAAAATTAAAATTGATTCGTTCTTAATACCTGATTTATTTCTAGTTCTACCGTAACATTTTTTACTCAGGAAACATTGAAATATAAAACTGATCTTATTTCATAATAATTAGCATAAAGTCGACGAGCTCGATTAATTTTCATTCAAGGATTCCCACTTTCGATTCGTAGTATACATGTAGGATATCCTTCGACGATATTCGTTTCTCTATTGTTCTATGAGTCACGTTCTTCGTTTACTTCCTGACATTGTGTGCCTTCATCGGCGCGGCGTCCTTCGCGAGAAACGATTTGATAAAATAACCGATCCTCCCACCTAGTGGCATAGTTCAATGTTTCTCTTCGGTACAAGACAGACTATAAGAAACGCGGCACGATCACAGCGCGAGAAACACGCACGTTGACAGTTAACACTCCGACTTCACGATGACAAGGTGCAACGATTTACGCTCGTGTATTCTTCTCCTGTGTTTCACTGTCGTTTACATATCAGCACAAGGTGAGAAGCTGGTTACTTATCAAAAATATAATAATTAGATTTTATGCATTTAAGAGAAAAATTAAATCTGTCAAAAATATAAACGCTGCAAGTGATGCATAAAACTATATAAAAAGCGAGTACATATGGTNTTGAACCGCTCGTTTAGGTGAAAACATCGAGCCGTTCTGCAAGAAACCGAAGAATTCTTATTGCACTCCCTTGTTCCGAAATGCCGACAATATTTATAAGAATTGTGCGCCCGTTTTCTACGACAACCAGAACCCGCAGAAAGATTGCAACTATGCTTCCAGATGTCGTAAGTTTGAAATAATGATTGTCCAAATACAAATTGTTTCTTCTTTTAAAAAAGAAGTCGAGTAAGTCTGTACCTAGAGGAGCTTTGTCAGTGAGATTAACTTCGTTCTTACAGAAAACGCGAACGACTCAGTTATCCACAATCATGATAGTACCAAATCGATTTCTGAGGAAGGTACGTGCAAAATATGCTTGTAAAAACTAATGCTTCCATCGCTTCTTCTAACATTTACTGTGCATTAACATATTTACATTGCACATAGATACACTTCGTAATATTATTAAACAATATAATTTCACATCCCATAAAAGAAAAAAATCTAATAAGCCATTAGAGAGTATAATAAAATCTATTTTAATTTTCATTCCAATGCAATAAAATAGTTGGATGACAAAGAAACCGATAATCGAGCTTGAAACTTTCAAGAACGAATAGTCATATTTTTATGACTGTTTTAAGTTCTTAACTACAAGTTTCGGGCTCTAGACAGAACATATTGGATTCTGTTGGAACTTCGCACGAGATTTGGCCGAAATATCTCGGGGCTTATCGCGATCAAACAAATTTTACACTGGAACCAAGCAAAGCTTTTCATGTAAATTCAGATCTTAATACGAGTTGCGCGAGCGAGGCGAATTTTAATCTGATTTAATGTATACGTATGTCTCCTTAATTTTCGCCTCACCCCTATTTAAAAAATTACTCATATTACTGCAACTAATTAATCTAGTGAAGTTATAGCTAAATATTTTGAAAAATTTAACGAACCAGGCTCCCATCTAATTATATTCATAATACCGTATTCTTCATTTATCACTTAACATGGCTGAACTATTTACTCCAACATCCTATATAATAACTTTGGAATATTGATTTACAGAAGATAAGATGTGTGTGTTTGGTGATATGAAAATGCACATCGGTGACGAACTCAATCAGGCAACGGATTATGATTCCGTTTGCGTGAAATGCGTTTGCGAAATACCACCGATCCCAACGTGCCAACGACTTCCGGATGACAAATGCGACATCAGGAATCACCCACCCTTTTCCAGTGGGTTTATCCTTGATTGAGTGATCTAATGGGCTGCGAATTTTTAAATAATATATTAAAACTGTGTCGAATGCACAAAGTTTCAGTGCTTACCAAAGGTTAAATTCGCACGACACAGTTTAGTGATATATTTTCTATATTCTTAGGTAGATCCAAGATAACGATTATAGTCATTACTAATGGTAGAATGTAAAGACTTAGTTATTAGTTTGTTTTCTTGACTTATGTTTGAAAATATATATGTAGCATTCTTATGAAGATATACGTATAAAAGTTATGACAATTTATTAATTGA